TGATCAACCTCGCCCTCCTCCTCTCACGATCTACCATCATATGCCCTCCTTATGATGTCTCTTATGACCTTTCCCCAATTGTCCTTTTTTTTCTCTCGGATAACTAAGCTATGGCGTTTTTCTCTTCTGCATGCATCATGAAAAGCACTTCTTTCACATCCTTTGCCTTGATTTGCTTCATCTGCCTTTTGACTTGCCATGCCTTTGCCTTGTCTTACTTGCATCTTCGGTTCTTCTCCTTCTTCTGCATCTCTTTAGAGTTCAATGACACGCGCTCGGCGACGATCAAGAGATAAGCTATGTAGTCATTCTAAATAGCTACCGTCTATAGTCAAGCTAAAAAAACACCCTCCCTTGGCTGCTCAGTTCTCTCTCTTCTTTTCTCACGGTGGCGCTTCCAACCCGTTCAGCTAAACCAAGCAACTAGTTTTGCCTCCTGTAACGATAAACTCGAAACAAACTATATACTAGCTAACTTATCCATAGCCATAAACACGGATAAATGTCAAAAAAGGTACAGAACGGTAGTTAGCAGTAGTCACTTAGAGTAGTTGAGATGTCTTAAATAACCTGTCTTGACTGGATGATAGTTACTTAGCTGGTGATCACATATGATCTGCGCAGGCATCGGATGTCTCTTTTCCCTTGGACCCTGAGGAACTTAAGCAAAAAAGCCGGTAAAGCTGAATGAACTAGTTGATTGAAATCAAATAAATCATCCAACCGATCAACGTAGACATCGTCATCATCGTCGCCATCGACATCGCCATCGCCATCGTCATCGGTCCCTGCATATCTGCACGCCATCGCCAACTAGCTGTTCTACCGGCAGGCATGTCATGTTATGTTTATCCAACCGAACAGTCCATCCAACGGCGACAAAGATGTACAGGTCTGTTTAGCCGTTGCATCGACCCGGCGCCCGACCCGACCAGACATGCGGAAGCCAATAAGGGACCAGCTGTTTTAATTAATTTCTCCGTAGTCTGTTGGACGGTCATCTCCTATCCCGGCCCTTAGCTGGGGTAATAAGTGTCTATCTATCACGATAGATAGTTCCGCTGTTAGGGATAGTGAGAGGGGACGGTGGAGAGGGCCTAGAAGGCAGACAACTCCGGCTGTCGGGCTGGTTGATGGTCGGATAGACGGAGATGGATGGAGAGATGGAATGTGCCCCCCTTGGTTGAGGGATGTGAAGTGTCAACTGGACAATTGCCTAGCTGAGTTAGTTACTTGGATGACTATATGGATATAGGTTGGGCTTGATATTGAAACATGAGGGCTGGGGAGGGAACGGGGGAGGGAAAGGGCGTAAGGAGGGAGAGTGAAAGCAGGTAGGCAGGTATGATGGTTGGAATGAGAATGTGAGCGAGGACTTGTTGAATGCCCAAAGAGTGAGTTAAGGACCTTGTTATAACTGAGCTGGTTAATGTGTTTGGCTGTTTATTTTATATTAATTGAGCGTTTTATATATTGTTGACTTCCGACGGCGTTGCAGGTAGATGTACACGTACTTTACATGCATGTACAGGCATAGTTTAATGCTGCAGACATGCAGACAGACAGGAGATATACAGCATAGCTACCCAGGTAGGTCTGCAGACGGAGTACAGACAGAGTACAGACAGAGAGATCCAGGCTATAATTAGATTACTCTCGAGCTTCGAGCGCATCGACAATCCGGCCCAGGACCAGGACCGCTGAGACGGCTAGACGGAGAACCATGGGGCCCTCCCTTGCCCTTGCTTGTTTTGCCCGTCCATCCATGCTCCAGGGCGTGTGTCAGACCACCAGATGCGAAGGGGGCTTTCTTTTGTGAGCGAGCCTGCTGGGCTGGCTCTGCTGGCTGTGCATAAAAAACCACAAGTTAGTGAGCACTAACACTGCCATCGGAAGTTCGTAAAAGTAGCAGCAGTAGTAGCAGTGGATGTCCAAAAGGAATATTTCCAACTAGCTTGTGCATTAGTGCGGGAAACAGGCAGTGCTAGATGCTGCTAGACGCTGCCTGCTTTCTTATAACCAAGCCCAGGGAAACCCGGGTGGTCGGGTGGGTGAGGAGCCGTTTAATTATCACGACTCCGCTGTGGTGCAGAGGGAGGTCCCATTCGAGACGGACAAGCAGGACAAGCAAGACCAGACCAGACCATGGACGGGCAGGTAGAGAGGGAGAGGGAGAGGCAGGGCAGGATGAGTGTGTGTGTGTCTGTTTTGCTCTGCTTTTCTTCAGGCGCAGGCAGGGACGGACAAGGCTCTTTTGATTTGATTGCGTACGACCAAGAGGATCGACAGCTTGAGCCTTGCAGGTTGACTTGACTTTTCCGCCGAAGTCTGAAGTATTTCCTATGACAAAGTACTTTGACTCAGTAAAGAAGCAAAGGAGATGTGGCCCCTTTGAGTTCCTTCTCCAGGTTTTCTTCTTCTTCCCTTGTCGGCCTTTCAATGTGGTTATGTATGTTTATTAAATAGTATAAGTAAGTCAGTATGTAAGAGAAACAAGGGGAGGAAACATCGTGATGAATAACCGCATTACATGACATGGCCGTCCAGTCAACCACCTGCCTCGGGCCGCTACTTACATCCATCGTACATTACATGGACATACATAACGTGGCCTCTTCTTGGATGTGACCTTCTGTCGAATGGGAAGAAGAAGTACTTCCGGTAGAAAAAAAGGAACTTCGAGAACCGGAATGCAGAGAGAGAAAGAGGTAGTAACCCGACGGGTGCTTGTATCCGGGTCGAATAGCAAGGAGTTGCTGTATTAGGTACTTAGTGTGAGTGTGAGCGGATACACGCCGTCCATGCTCCCACCCTAAGCGGCCTCTTTAAAAGGCCTGTAGCTATCCGTACTTTTACTCCGGAAGTACGTATATAACTAGCATCGCACAAGAAGAGCCGTGGATGGCTGCCTTGCCCTGCCCTGCCTCGTCTTTGCTGGAGTAACGTTGCAACGTTTGCTCCCGACGGCCTTCTCAAGCCCCGTCAGCTGTCAGGCAGGACGGTTGGACGGTTGGACGAGAAGGAGACCGACGGACAAACAGTCTGTCTGTGTCTGTCTGTCCCGATGATGGGCACAGGGACAAGGCTCCGGCTCTTGGTATCTTGTCTCTGGGCTTTGGCTTCTCCGGGCTCTGGCTCCCTGGCTCTGGCTCTGCTGCGTCTCAGAGATGCAGGTTACAGGCATGACTGGGGCCTTTGCCCAGGGGAGGCGCTGGACTGGACGCCGATCTTGAAAAAGCAACCACGGCGACAAGGAAGTCAATTTAGGAAGAGGAAGAAGCCGAAGCAGAAGAAGACGACGAAGAAGAAGCAAATATAAGATGTTCAGCTGCAAAAAGAAACGAAGGGGGGTGGGATGCAGGAAGAGCAGGAGTAAGAGCGTCGAAGCTGCTGCTCGTCTCACAGCGTCTTCTTCGTGTCAGCTTCAGGTTGCCGTTACAGCAAGCAAGCAGGCAGCCGTTTGCTTCATGTTCCACAGAGAAGAAAAGATAACGGAAGAGGAAGAGAGAGAGAGGGGACTGCCTGTTACTTGGTCAACGGTGTCTCTCGTTTCTTCTTCTGTTTTCTCTCCTTCATCTGTCTTCCTATCCTAACTTGAACGGCCGTCCGCCATCCCATCCCTACTACCGAGCTGTAGGTACTACTTTCCCCAGGCCCAGGGGACCACCTCCATTGTAAGTAAGTAAAAGTAAGTCAGTAACAAAGTGTATCACCAGGATTCGAGAAGCAGAGACAGAGAGAGAGAGACGCTGGGACAAGCATCATCACGCAGACTATTCGCATCGTGCAGAGCTAGTGGCCGCCATCTCTGAACCCGCCCCGAGTTCAAACTACTGAGGCGGTTAGAACCAGAGCAGAAGCAGCAAGTCGAGCACCTCAGCTACGGTAACTAAGTTGACTATGTCGTAAGAAGGTCGTAAAGAAGGTAAAAGTAACCAAACTAACTAAAAGGATAAGAGGAGAGACGGCCAGACGGTGCAGCCAGCGAGTCCTTGTACCTGGTACCTGCCAGGGTCCCGACTCCATAGAAAGGAAGTAGAAGATGCGGATCTGGTTCAGGGGTTTTCCGATATCCATCATCATCGTCCCCTTCCCAGGGTCGACAGGCTGGAGGATGGAGTTCCTGATGGAGTCGCCGATGGAGTCTCTTCGATCACGGCAGACGTCGATGCGATGGGAGTAGATCTGGTCGTATGTCTCTTCTCTTGTAGCTATAGATGGATGGCCCTTTTTCTTTTTCTCTGCTCAGTCTCTCTTAATAAACCCGGGTAAGCTGCTCCGGTAGAAGAAGAAGTCTGTATATCCTCCTTCCTCTCTCAAGCATAGCAAGCAAGCAAGCATATGCTTCTCTGCCTCTTTGCTTCTTCCTTCTTTGCCGCTTCGTCGCTGATCATCGATTCCAACCATCACCGTCCGTCTCTCTACCTGGCTGGCCGACGCCAAAAGGGAAAAGAAAAGGGATCCAGGGCCCGCGACCAGGGGGGCGCATCTTGCTTGACTCTATCGGAGAGAACAGCGAAGGGAGGACGATAACATAGTCAAGGGACTCCACTGGGTGAATATCTCTCTAGCACTCTTCCTCTTCCTGTCTATCACTATCATCATCATCATCATCATCATCGACCCTTCTGACTGCCGGTGTTGTGCATGATATATACGGAGTATACATTGTGTTGTATCTATACATGCTCCGTGTGTATAAAAATTGCCCGGTCCTTCTTAGCCCCTGAACCGACCAACCCCCTTGACCAGGACATCTATTTTTTTACACGCACACTTCCCTCTCTCTCTTCTCTCGGATTCTCTTCCTTACCTACTGCCTGCCTGCCGTTACCCCGTCTGATCTAATTGACCTAGAAAGAAGCAAAGAAAGAGACACTTCGCACATCGCTTGCCCGCCCCCGCGACATGGCGGCGAGATAGACTCAGGAAGCTGGACGAGACGAAGATATTATACGAACAAATTCAGCCACCCCAGAAAAGAAGAAAAGAAGAAGCTAAAAAAGAAAAAGAAAAAAGCAAAGCAGGACGAAGACGAAGAAGGGAGGAAGAGGAAAAAAAGGAATATCTCACTCTAATTGATATTCGTCTCTGTCCCTTCGAGAATTATTTGCAATCGGACGAGCAGTCGACGCTCTCTCTCTTCTTACTCTTCTCACTCTCGACTGCTGCTGCTGCTGCCTTCTTCTGTGCCTTTTGCAGCTAGAGAAGAAGACGAAGAAGACGAAGAGCGCGCAAGAGAGAGACCGAGACAGAGACAGCTCTTTACTCTGAGCAAGTCGCTCGCTACCCGGAACTGTCTATGTAGGTTTCCCTTTCTCCCGTCCTTGTCTTCTTGTTGCTCCCGTTCTTCCCGCGGTCGTTTCTTTCTCTCGCTGTGTCTGTGTTTGTTTGCTGGATGGGGCCCTCACTCCGTCCCTCCCCCTTTTTCACCCCTTCATACCTATAATAATATCTACATATCCATAGCTCGCTACGGGGCCTGGCAGGAAGGAGACCCGGCCTCTTTGTCTGGACGAGCCTTTGAGATGCTAATTGACATTTGGCTACAGACAGACAGACAAGAAAAACAATATATCCAAAGCTACCTACAACTCTACTATATAAAAAGAAAAGGACCATCCCGAATGGTTGTGTGAAAGCGGTCCCTTCAAGGTCGTCCGGACTCAAGCCCACCACCAGAACTAATATTAATTGATACACACAAAAAAAAAACGACCAAAGAGGAGGAGACGAAAGACGACGAGAAGATGCAGGGAGACGCCTCGTCTGCCTTCATGGGCGGACGCGTGAGGAGCACCAGTCTCTCCTTCGACCGCAGCAGTGCCGGCGGTGGCAGCAAGCCCGGCGTCCCGTCACCACCGCTGGTCAACCCGGCACCACAGTACGTCGCCATCTCAGCGGCCACACAGCTCATATCAGCTTCACACGGCGTCAACCCGCTCGAGCCAAAGGAAGGAAGACCGGGCAATGCCATTGTTACGCCGCCCTCGCTCGTCCTCGTCAACGGGTTCCTCGACCATGTCCTATTCAACATCCTGCTAGCAGCCAAATCCACAAGGCTGGCAGCCATCAGACCAGCCGTTTCAGACGTGCTCAAGCCCCGGCTGGCCCGCGCCGTTGTCTCGGTCGCGGACGAGGAGCTGAGCGAGTACATGGGCACCAGCGACGAGGAGGAGCTGACCGGCTACAGAGGAGACTGCCAGGACGATCCCACGACAACGGGACACTTCGAGCTCGAGCGGTCGTGGAAGCTGACCCGGCTGCGATGCATGGTCTACGCCCGGCTCGGAGACATGGAGGAAGACGACGAGGAAGAGTACCTACAGCGCGAGGGGCTGAACGAGTCTAACGGCCGGCCGTACTTCATGAACCAGGGGGGTCTACTCTCGCCCGCAGCGGCCATCTTCCTCACCTCGATACTAGAGTACATCGCGGAGAACATACTGGTTATCGCCGGCGAAAACGCCAGCACCCGGCTCGGCTTCTCAGACGAGAACGACGAGCGTAAGTACCAGGGCGGCACACTGGTTGTCGACGATGTCGATGTCGAGAAGGTCGCTCTCAACCCGACCCTGGGCCGGCTCTGGCGCACCTGGAGGAAGACCATGAGGGCGCCTGCTCTCTCGCGGACGCTGTCTCGAGAGTCCCTGGTCCGCCGTGGCTGCTCGTCCCGGACCAGCACGCACAGCAGCGTCGGCACCTTCGACACGTTTGACACCTTCAACGGCTTCTCCTTTGGCCGCAAGATATCCTCCTCCGCCGGCGATCAGCACGTTTCAGAAACCGCCGATGACGCCGTTAGTGTCAACCCGGCGGAGATTCCACTCCCTCTTAGCGAGTATGACATTGATGAAATTGAGATACCCGGTTTCAGCGCCCAGCTCGCCGTCGCCCTGCCCGCTCGTTCCATGCGACCCAGGAGCCTGTTCATCTCCAGTTCGGATGTCAGAAGCACCTCGCCGCGGGTCAGGGCGTCGCAGCCGGCTCGTTCTAGCACCAAAAGGGCCCATACCCGTTCCCACTCGCTGCCTCAGTCTATCTATATTACAAAGTCCACCTCCCCGTCTCCGACCCGGACCAGACGCTCTGCCTCGTCTGCTGCAGACTCTAGGGAAGACAACCACGAGATGCTCGAGAGCATGCCAGAGGCAGAGGAACCCGAGACCGAGAGCAAAAAGGCCGCCGTTGTTGTTGCTGCTGTACCAGATGAGCAGCAGGCTGCTCCTGACTCGACATCCATCTACTCTAGCTACAAGGCCTCTTCTTCCTCTTCCTCCTCTTCTCCTGACCAGCACTCAATGCAGCCAGACGTCTCTCCTCCCAGCAGCGAGACGGGCGATGACAACAGCGTCGTCTCGTCCATACACACCATACCCGAAACCTCGCGGGTGTCTACGACTTCTGCACCACCGCAGACTACACACAATGGCACCTCTGCACGCATCACCACCTGGGACGACATTGCAGATGGAAAACGCAGCATACTACTCCTCTTCATCCCTTACCGACGATGACCTACAGCCTTCTCGCAAGGCTCCCCGATCCCGCAACAACAACAGCAACAAACCACCTACCAGCAACCCATTCGGAGACAACATCGTGGAAACCTCCTTCGTCTCCCGTTCTCCTCGCTCTCCCAGCCGGGGATCTCGGCTCACACCCCTGACCGAAGTAGCGGACAACACGCCGGTGCAGGAAGAACAACAGCATTCTTCGCCGGACCAGGTTTCGATCAACTCAGGAGACAGCGAACCCTCCGTCAACCCACGGAGCAGAGCATGGCTCACAAGAATCAACACAAACTGTTCCGCAAGACAGACATATCCTGTGTCCCCAGGCTCAGAACGCGCTGCTGTCCAACGAGTCACTCCTCCGCCATCCAGCATCTCCCGAGACTCCAGCAAACTACGCAGATCAGAGAGTGCAGGCAGCCGGCGTGAGGGACGACCCATCACCTCCGGCTCCGGCGTCTCACAGGGCTCAAGCAGAATCAGGGGTCTGGTTAGCAGGCAGCCTTCAGACCTCTCCGTCTCCGTCATCTGTTCGTCAGACGGGAGCGGAAGCGGGTCGGCAGCTCTCGAGGAACTCCTGATGAGCGACGAGACGATTCACTATACCCTGACGCCACGAAACATGCGAGAGATGGAGGAAGTGGGCTCGCCTCGATGGGCGGCTACCCGGCCAGCAGACCTTACCGATCTCGATACGAGTTCGGTCAAGAGTGGTAAACAGAGCCGCAGAATCCTGTCTTTACACTCGCCTTCGAAATCGCCGCAGTCTCCGCTAGCTCGAAACCCCCCTAGCCCGCCGCCGTCAAATGCTAAAACGACAGCTCCACAGGCGCGAGATGCGAGAGTCGAAAACGCATCCGTTAGAGACTTCGCCAACTTCATTCGTTCCACAGGGCCAGATAAGGGGTTACACCCGCCAGCTGCCCAATTTAATAGCTTTGCTCGCGCTGCTAAAAATCATCATCCCGGCTCTCCTGTAAACACGGGAGCTTCGTCACCCAGCTCGCTCGCTCCTCCAAAGGCATCAAGGGATAGCACCATCACCACCTCCTCCACCACTACCACTCCAACCGGTACCATCACCGCACCGCGATCGACAAACAAACCCCGTCTGGAGGCTCGCCCCGCAGTCTTCGTCAGAGATAACAAGACGTCAGAGCTGATCGACTTCATCCGTCAGGGGCCCCCTGATCCTCACGCTCGTCGTTTGCAGCAGAAGACCGTCGCCCCCTTCAGGGATACCATGACTTCAGACGATTTCCGTGCTTTCACCCAGCGTGACCTCATCAATGGTGAAAGTTCAATGCCAGGAACCCAGGATGGCTCGATGGTTGCCGCATCTGTTGCCTCCATCAACTCCCACACGGCGCTAATCGACACTAGCAACCGACCCAGCAGCCGAACGTTCCAGTACCGGCACTCTCCAACCGCAAACCTTCGAGGCGATGGCTCGAGTACTCCTGCTAAAACGCGCCGACGAGTCAGGGACCCATACGCCATTGATTCGGATAGCGAGGACGAATACGACGACGTTCGCGACTCGGCTACCACTACTGCTGCTACTAAGCCCAAGGAAGAAAGTTTGGCTGAGTTCCTGAAAAACGCTCCTCCTCCACCACCCCCTCCAAAGCCACAGCCGTTCACCATCAACATCCAGAAGGCCAACGAACTCCAGCGCCAGAAGTCCAAGAGACCGGCCATCTCACGAAGCGTAACTCTAGACTCCACCTCCGAGGCCGGGTCGCCTGCTCCTCCCAGACTCGTCGACTTACCTGCCAAATACAACTCCAACGGCCACGGCCATGCCCACGGCCACGCAGGCAGACCGCAGGCCTCGCTAACTTCGGCTCCATCCTTCGTCGCTACCATCCATGCTGACCAGCCTGACAACCAATGGCATTCTGGCGGCAGACTGCCAAAGGGCGTCATCAAGGGCGTCGAGGCCGACGGTCTATACAGATCTAACAAGTCTGATACCGCCGCCCTAGCTGATTTCTTGAAGAACACCGGCCCTCCGCCCTCGCCTAGCGTTAACTCCCTTCAGACAATGAAGACCGGTAGCTCTGCTGGCTGGACATTCAAGACTTTCCTACGAAAGAAGAAACAAGTGGCATAGTTTAATCACATTCTCCCTCCGTCCTCACATCCCTCATCTTACATTCTACGGCCTCCCCCCTTTCCCTCCCTCTCTCCCGTCCACTCAATGACCCCCTTCTTGCCCTCTTTTTCCCTGGGAAAACATTCACGCTTTGAAATGTTCTACCATATATTTTAATTAATGAATATGACTTTCGGCCCTTGTTACATTATACCTTTTCCCATCTTCTTTCCTGCTTGATTGTTTCTTTTCTTTTTTCTTCATATCCCTCTTTCTTCATCTTCCATTTCTTGGTACAAGGGCGGCAGTATATATGTTTCCTTTTCCATTCCATCAGGACAAGAACCAGCCTTGGTCACTCGTTTGGCGAAAAAAGACGTTCTATACACGTATATACTCATATATCCTGCTCCAGCTTCTCCTTTTCTCTCTCTATCTCTCTCTATTTCTCTCCTGTCCACACTCACTGAATGCACTCAGAATGTGTTGTATCTCCCTTTCGCTGTCTCTCCTCTTTCTTTCTTCTCCTATATACCACCTTTCCGTCTCATTTCTTAACTTCCCTTTTGGGCCTTATTTGTCACATAATACTTCCTCTTTTTTTTTACTTTATAGCCATTACGGTGAGATGCAAGTCATGAAAATACTCTTTCTTCTACGCTACCTTGCTTCTCTCCATGACCAACCGTAACTCTACACAATGCCACATCAATACTGATGGGCGTCGACATACCCATCTCATCTCAAAAATCAAAATCAAACCTCCACGGATACCCGATAACCAACTCCCAACTTCCAAAGTCACAAGACCATTCGACCAAACTAATGCAGTTCAGGTGTTCTTGTTCTGCATCATCCCAGTCCACGCTAACGTCCAGCCGAACCGAACCAGGGCAGGGCAGATCATCTCATCTCAACCCAACTCGAACTTGAGTTGGTTTGATTTAGTTTGACTTGCATAAAATACGTTTCATCATCCCTGGAAAGGAAAAGAAAATTTTCGCACATCTTCCCCAGGAGTTTCAGCGAAAGAACCACTGTGTCCCCGCCAGATCGTCCATGCGCGATTGTCACCCGGTCAATACATAGTTTGACGGAGACTGCTGGGATTTACGTGGGACCCTGTCTGTCGATGGACATCGGTTTGCTTGTAATTGCGGTGCACTACGGCGATGGTGCGTGTATTCCCACTTGCCGGTTGGTAGGTGAGATGCCGTTGACTTTGTGTCATACGTACTTGTATGCGGAGCACGGACAGGTCGGTGTTTGCTGCATCGTCGAGTTTGTTTGGATGTATAGGTACTTCTGTGATCTCGGGGAGGTTTCCTACAGGGCTGACTTCCTGGATGATCCTGGGAGGTGGATGGGTTATAACTTCGATGCAATAATGCATGGCTAGATAGGCATCTATACCGAATTTCTGGCTGCTTTCTAGTGCGGAATAAGCTATCGGCTTACACTAAGAAGGATGAATTCTCCCTTTTATATGGTATCGAATTGTACCATGGCCAGCAACGTTCGAGGTTGTGAGTGAACAGGGTCTCAATGTTAAGCGCTTTTGAGCCGCGAATGAATTCTAAAATGTAGTATAAATGATGTAAGAATGGCCCATTAACACCGGGGGTATCTATTGAGGTATTCCTATATGTCGCCTTTAAAGGGAAAAGCTGATCTATGATCGAAATTGTCTGTAAGTAGATGTTTCAGGTACTTTGAACCTATACTTGACCTGGTAACCCAATTTGAACGGAATCTACCTCCAAAGGGAATATTAGTGCTTCTCGTCCATAATATGCACTCCTTGCAGCTATTTCCGTTTTTCATGGTGTATCTAGTGTCGGTCCTTGTTCTTGATGTATACATGTGACGAGCGGTAATCGACAAGTATCGCCAGACGAGGATTTTGGCAGTCGACGCATGGATTGGCAATGAGCTTGTCGGAAGAATTCATATCCAGTACCAATAAAATATCAGTTAAATATTCCACTGGATTAGGAGCAGATGGTCATTGCTAGAAGAGGTATCAACTTCGTAGAGTATCTGGGTATCGTTGCAGCCACCTCCTTATATAGACAAGAGTTAAACTACCCGTATCCAGCTGTAATCAATCTCTGAGTCAACGTGCTCCTGAAAAGTCCCATAACCATCCAGCTATGTTAATAGTAGACCGTTGATGGCTGTTGAATGCTAGGATGAGCTTCAGGGGCTGGCCGGGCCAGGTGCAGCTACTCGGAGTTTCTATTTTCCTTCCACCCTGCGAAAGCGCCAGGGACAAATATACGTAACCCTAAATGTTTGGCCTTGGACGTCAAGAAGATACCAGTGCAGACGACCAGGCGCATCCAGATCTACCACCCTTTCTCGACCAGCAACTCCCTGGGTGGTGATCCTCCTCCCTCGGCCTGTTATCTCTTCATTTCTCCATCTCATTCACGACAAAGACCAGTATGCGGCGGGGCTCAGCCATGGGACTGCGGTCTCCTCTCGAACTTCTCACCCTCCTATTCACCCTCCTTGTGCCTCTTGCCTCCGCTCTACGATTCGATCTCATCCCAAATACACACTCAGGGAAGCATGAAAGATGCATAAGGAATTTCGTTGCGCGTGATCAGCTTGTTGTCGTCACTGCCACCGTCAGCGGTTCAAAGGGAGATGGACAGGTTGTCAACATGCATGTACGTGGCGGACTTTTCTTATCTTTTAAAGACACGCAGACTGCCATTGCGAATTGCATGGTATACTAGAACGGATGCTAATTGAGTATTTTTGGATGGAATAGATCAAGAGTTCACTAGGTGACGATTACGCCAAACCTAAAGATATCGCCGGCGAGATTAGACAGATGTTCACTGCTAGTGCCGATTCTTCCTTTGACGTTTGCTTCTCGAACATCCTTTCCGGTCGACGTAAGACTTGCCCTGGCGGATTTCTTCGTTAATACAATCACCGGAACTCTGACTAATTTTTTCCCCTTTGGTTTTCTCTGATTATAGATGCTGGCCCCAACCCTTCTCGTCAGGTCGAGCTTACCATTGAAGTCGGTGCTGATGCTCGAGACTGGGATGCTATTAAAGTCCAGGAGAAACTCAAGCCAGTTGAGGCTGATCTCCGCCGTTTGGAGGCCATGATCACTGAAATTGTTTCGGAGATGGACTTTATGCGCGCACGAGAGCAGAAGCTCCGAGACACCAATGAAAGTACCAATGAGCGAGTTAAATGGTTTGCTTTCGGCACCATGGGTATGCTGATTGGCCTTGGTGTCTGGCAGGTTGTCTATTTGAGAGCCTACTTCCGGTAAGTCTTTTACAATATGTACTATGTCCCATGTATCTTGATAACTCAACTTGCTAATTACTATCTTCTATAACTAGGTCGAAGCATCTTATTTAAAGCGTCTATAAGAAATATCTTTTGGCGAATGGTGAAAGTGTCCCCTTCCTACCGAGGGCCTCATGCATTGCAATGTCTGCTCAGGTCCTATGGGCGGCCGTTCTGTTTGCTCGGATTTATACCTTCTCTTTTTTGATATCTATCACGTTTCATTATGAGGGAATACGAACTGTAACTATGATCATTATTCAATTAGCACCTGCAAAAGCTACAGAAAATATACACGAGTGAAGTAAAAGTAATTGTATTAATTTACTCACTTCTTTAAATCTCAACTATCAAACGCTCTAGAAAAGGTGATGAGAAATCTGGTTGATGCAAACAGTGCAAACAAAGCTCGGATGATGTCAAATCTTCAAGTTTCATCAACACGGCCAGCAACAGCTAAACTACTGATTCTCGACGCATAAACATATCAATTAAGCGTCTCGTTTGCCTCAATGTCTACGGCACATAATATATCTCGATCGCTAAGGCGGGGGCTGGCTTCGTGCAGTTGCCGCCCTTGGGCTTCCTCATTTAACTCCTCGCGACCATCCGGCGCATCCCTTTCATATCGGCGCAATGTTAGCATATACCCTACCTCGACTCTAGGATTTCGATGTCTAAGTTATTCTTCACGGTTATATAACAATGGAATCGCTGGAAACAAGGGTAGCAAGGCGGAAGAGCAGCTTGCGCCTGGACAAACGAAGGGCGAACTTGAGGTTGGAGAGATGGAAGGCATCACTTTCAAAGTAGAGCCATTAAAGAGAAAGGGAGAAGATAACAGCACGAAGAGAGCCAGGTTGCTATGTAAGTGTCGTGTGGATGCTACATAAGCTACATCTCCCATTCTTCCGACTGGGGTACTAACATGACGATAGACCAGAGCCGTAAACGAGGGACCCTAGAGTCAGACCTGCTCCTGTCGACGTTCGCATCTACATATCTGGGCAAGATGACAGGTAGTCAACTGGACGAATACGACCGGTTCCTGGACGAAAACGATTGGGACATCTACTACTGGGCGACTCAGGAACCACCATCCGAGTCCGAGGTAGCTGAGGGCGCGTCAAAGGCCAAGGACGAGCTGACGGATACGTGGAAGAGCGGCGCAGCGAAGAGCGGGGAATGGGCTCAGACTGTGGGAGCTTTCAAGCCTGCATACCGACCTGTCCCCCAGCGCTGGGCTGACTCGGAGATTCTCTCTCTGCTGCGACAGCATGTCCAGAGCAAGAAGGCTGGAGATGAAAGCATCGAGGGAAACGGCGGCGGCCTGGGACGCATGCCCAACATTGAGCTCTTCAAGTCTTAGCATTTTAAGATCATCAGTCTGTACATTATGTATCACCATAAACCGTCATTTAATATAAGCATCTGCACCTGCATCAGCATCAGCATCTTCAACATCTATATCTTTATTCAAGTCTCGCCGTTTGATGTTGCAAAAGACGCTCGCTTAATGCCGGTTAGGGTTTAGCGCGCACACTGGCGTTTAGGGTTTGCCTGGATGCGGAACTGGCCTAACTTCTTTCTGCGATTTGTGTGAAAAGGCCGAAAAGGAAAAAAAAAGATCGAAGAGAGACAACAACATCTCTGCTCGACCTTCATCCCTCTCCGTCCACCACACCCCTCGAGGATTTACGAGAGCATCATCCAGACGAGCTCGAGTCCGCACATCATGGCTGAGCAGCTAGTCCTCCGTGGAACCCTCCAGGGCCACAATGGCTGGGTTACCAGCTTGGCCACGACTTTGGAGAAGTAAGGACCATTCCATGATTTCAGTGATTGAGAAGAGAAACAAGACGAAGGAGGATGGAGGATGATGCTGACAGGCCGGTTTAGCCCAAACATGCTCCTGTCTGCCTCTCGCGACAAGACCCTGATCGTCTGGAACTTGACCCGCGATGACACCGCATACGGATACCCAAAGCGATCCCTCCACGGTCACTCCCACATCGTTTCTGACTGTGTATGATATATTCCCCCTGGGTGCAGCTGTTTGAATTTGCGCTGGATGGCGAGATTGCGAGATTTCGCAAAGATAAAAAAAGAAGGACATAAAGCCATGGGGATTATGTATGCATGGCTAATATTGAATAATAGGTCATCTCTTCCGATGGTGCCTACGCTCTCTCCAGCTCCTGGGATAAGACCCTCCGTCTGTGGGAATTGGCTACCGGAAACACCACTCGCACTTTCGTCGGCCACAACAACGATGTTCTGTCCGTTTCCTTCTCTGCTGACAACCGCCAAATTGTCTCTGGTTCTCGTGACCGAACCATCAAGCTGTGGAACACCCTCGGTGACTGCAAGTTCACCATCACCGACAAGGGCCACACCGAATGGGTTTCCTGCGTCCGCTTCAGCCCTAACCCCCAGAACCCCGTCATTGTCTCTGCTGGTTGGGACAAGCTCGTCAAGGTACGAATTATCTGTTTACCAACATCCTCCTTTTTAATATCACCCCGTTTTCCAAATGATGTTTTGCAATTACGTATTTGCTACTTCAGAGCTCCTTTGCGGGCCATGAGACCATTATTCACCTTTGCCCTGATGGAAATTACCCCCCTTGATTGTTTATATCTACCCGAGAAGAATTTTTCCTTAAAGGATTGCTCTAGCCCTATAGATGCATTTGCTAACAATCGAGGTACGATAGGTCTGGGAACTCTCCACCTGCCGCATCCAGACCGACCACATCGGCCACAGTGGCTACATCAACACCGTTACCATCTCCCCTGATGGCTCTCTTTGCGCCTCTGGTGGCAAGGACGGTGTTGTCATGCTTTGGGATTTGAACGAATCGAAACACCTCTACTCTCTCAATGCTGGTGACGAAATCCACGCTCTCGTCTTCTCTCCTAACCGCTACTGGCTCTGCGCTGCCACTGCCAGCAGCATCAGCATCTTCGACTTGGAGAAGAAGAGCAAGATCGATGAGCTCAAGCCTGAGTTCGAGGACAAGGGCAAGAAGAGCCGTGACCCTGAGTGCATAAGCTTGGCCTGGAGCGCTGATGGTCAGACTTTGTTCTCTGGATACACTGATAACAAGATTCGTGCCTGGGGTGTCATGTCAAGGGTATAAAAAGACCACTTTTTATTCCCTTTTTGTCACATCTTTAATAGCGGAGTGAGTTGTTTACTAGATAATGTCCAATGAAACAATATGACTGGTTGGGGATCATTCGGATGAAGCAATGCGGCACACCTGATCAAAAAGGAAGGGCAAAAAATGGGCTACACCCGTGGACAAGATGAACAGTGTGGTGTTTGATAGTTCCCTGGAGTTATTTACAACGGATCTATCTAAATGGAAGCAAAAAAAAGTTCAAAAAGCATAACCCGCCCACTGCTGTTTTATCTCCAAATACGATGGCATTTCTTCATGGGCATTTAAGTTGGCGAGTGACCTACCGCGTTGGCTGGAAAGGTTATGCTATGTACGTCTTTCACGACTTTAATGGAGAATCTGCATCATGATTTTACCTTCTCTATTTATTGTAGCCATAAATCTTTGGGTTTCTCCTCTGCAGATTCTCAACTTGGAAACCTATCTTTCGTCCAAATGTTGTACATGGGGATTTCATGTTCGTAACTATTTTTTCCGTTTTAGAGAATATTATACATGATGCCATTTCATCTCACTTCTTGCTCTTTAACCTCTTTAGCGCTTCTCCTGCCTGTTCAATTCCTTCCGTGAACTGTACTTTGATAGCTGCTTCCTTGGCTTGCCTGTAGAACTCCTCAGCCTGACGAGGATTCTCTTGCATCTCGGCTATCTCTCCCAAGTTGAACAGAGCAACCACACATGCCTGGTCACATTGTTCGCTCTTATATGATTCCTCAACATTGATAGCAACGTCCAATGCCTTCCTAGCCCACTCTCCTGCTGCAGAAAGCAGCTGTTCTCGCGAAACTGGGTTTAAAGAAGTAGATGAAGGCAAAGGCGCACCTATAGGAACCTTTCCTGCTTGTTCCGCCATCTGACTCGCAATATTATTCAGGAGGACTGCCTGGATGCACTTATGCTGTCCGTCTCCTTCATCTTCCTTGAATAAGGATATTGCTTGCATGTACAGAATGGTTGCTAGGTCGCTTCTGCCTTTACTTACATAATGGTCAGCCAATTCACTGCATGCAGTGCCAGCTTCGGAAAGGGTAAGAAATGAAGGGTTCTCCTCGTCCGAAGTAATAGGTAGATTCAAATCCCTTCTTCGTTGAAGCTCTGCCCGGCTAGTTTCAAAGGCAGAAGTAAGCAGCTTCTCAGCCTTCGCAGTGTCATCAGGGTATTGCTCAGAGTATAGATCCGCCAGTTTTAGGCTAATTCCCGGTATTTTCTTCACCACCTTATCACGCAGGCTCTCCTCTTCTTGCTCCTTTTTCAGACTAGCCTCATGTTCAGCTACGGCGCCCGAATCAGATGGATCAGGCAAGGTAATTTTCCCGCTCTGCTTTTCCCGGTCCAGAATCAGCTTGCGCCTCCTTCCATTCTCTAGCCAAGTCTCGCAATCACGCTTGATCGTCTCGAGGACTTCAATGCTTGCGTCAAACAATTTCGCCTTCTCCAGCATCGAAGCCACCGCCAATCGTATGCCCAGCATCTCATCTGAAAATGGATGTAGTCCCAACTCATACCCAGCGGCCAATGCTTGTTTATAATAAGCCAATGCTGACGTAGGGTTAAGGTCCATCTCGGTATAATACACTGCTTTTCGAAGAGGTGTGGCCATTTCCTTGGGGAATTTTGTGAATTCCGGATTCACTCGAGTCATAAAGTCGTAGACAATGTACACTAGCAGCGCGGTATTTCCCAGGGCGAAAAGGAGGGTAAGAGGAAATCCGATAGGATGCTTGCGATGGACATTTCGTGCGGCAACTCGGAAATTGTCCCTGAATCGCTGGTAGAAGGTGTATGATCGGATCTGCGAGTTGGACGGGTTGCGAGAGAGGAGTTGTATTCTTGGTCGTTGGGCAATCCTATATGAAGAAATTGACCTTGCCATCGATTGTGAAGAAATCCGACTGTGTATCGGTCGCGAGAGGGCGCCGAGGCGCCATCCTAGTTTCGTCAACATCTTTCTAGGTCATGTCTGACGATTGTTAGGGTTGAAGCAAGTAACTCTTGATGCTTTGAAGCTTTTTGAGATAGCAGTTGGTAAATTTAAGGTTGTTACTAGCATTTTTAGCGCGGCTACGTTTATCGGAGCCATACATTTGATAGTAAATAGTCAATACAATGACTATTTTCTCCCCTCTTGTACTAATTAAAAGGCTAAAGAATTGAATATGATAGGTATTTATTATATTTTACATATAAGGAAAGACAGTAATATTGAAGATAGCTCATGGATGCGGCTCTTCAGCATGCAGTAGTCTCACCTTAACGTCCACGTGAACAGTTTTAGTTTAAACGAGGTCTAGGCTACCTACATCAATCAAGTTAATTACAATCTTAAAGACGGTTCTCTATATATACGTCCGTCATTGAGATCTAGCTCTTCCAACATATACCAGATTATCTAACCCGGTTATATATACCAAAGTACAGCTTACTGTGGCAAAATGTGTGGGCGTTATGCTATGGGAATTGTATGCATGATCCTATGCTCTAATGCTCTAATAACTACAAGATGACCTCTAGTCTGATATCTTATGAGACAGCGTCTAGCGTTCATTCGACATCAACTACAACAGAGAGGCCAGCAGATTGACGAAGTAGCAGACGACGATGAAGTGAGGGAGACGTATAATTTTGCACCTGGAAACTACGGTGCTGTTCTCAGAGCGGACACCCCTGACCATGGTGGCGTGAGCCATGAAGCTCCTGACGGCGAAGTCCCCGAAGACCAAGAGGGTACCGAGCAAACTGAGGGAAAGGAGAAGGGTACCAAGTACAAGATCCAGGCTATGAAATGGGGACTTATACCCTTTTGGACCAAACGGTCTCCAGACTATGGCTCAATGATGAAGACTATCAATTGCCGAGACGACTCGTTACTAGAAGATCGAGGCATGTGGACTTCAATGAAGAGGAAAAAGCGGTGCATTGTGATATGTCAGGGGTTTTACGAGTGGCTTAAGACCGGGCCTGGAGGCAAAACTAGGCTCCCCTACTTTACCCGTCGAAAGGATGGCGACCTGATGTGTTTCGCTGGTCTATGGGATTGTGTCAAGTATGAAGGCAAGTAGGACCCGTCTATCAGATGTTTTGGCTTGGGTATGACTAATTTGCAGCAGATTCGGATGAGAAGCTGTATACTTACACGGTTATCACCACCTCATCCAACTCACAGCTGAAATTTCTCCATGATCGTATGCCGGTCATTCTTGATCCGGGCAGTAAGGCAATGGCAGCATGGTTAGACCCACATACTACTACATGGACTAAGGAGCTTCAATCATTCCTAAAACCCTATGAAGGCGAACTGGAGACATACCCTGTCAGCAAAGATGTAGGGAAAGTTGGCAATAACTCCCCGAGCTTCATTATACCCATTAATAGCAAGGAAAATAAGTCAAACATCGCCAATTTCTTCCAGGGAAAGGGGCAGAAGAAGGGAAAGGCAGACGCACCGGAAACCAAACCTGAGAAAGCGGAAGCAGATTCTACCACCCTGAAACGAGAACATTCTCCGGAAGGTAAGCTGGAGCAAGCGTCAGATGCCAACAAGAAGATTAAGATTGAGAGCCCTCGGAATGAATCTGCTGAAAATGTGGAAGCTCTAAAAGAACGCAGTCCTATGAAAAAGATGCGAAGCGCAACAAGCAATGACACGAAGCCCAAACGCAGCGCTAAACCAAGTGGTGGAAATCAACGAATTACCAATTTCTTCAAGAAATGATTTAGTTGCGATTCATATTTGATCTATGTACATTACTATTTTTCTTTGGTGCTCATATTCGCTGTCCATCATGCCATGTCTATTTACAAGTATACTTATCTTACACTCCATTTTGAATAGTGTTCCATGCCACTTAATTGTGAAATGGCATGTTTACTGCTGCAGTTTCTTTTCTTCAGCTTTCAGTCGCTCGACCAGCTTTTCTCTAAGGAACGGGCTTAGTCCCAGGCTGTATGTAGTTAGTAATAAGTGACGAGCTCATTATGGTCATGAGAAACACTTACATCCCACTCCTCGTAACGATACGATATGTTCCTAGGTAGGCAAATGTTAGCAAGACAGAGTTACGTTCATTATGGGAGTCAAAACATACCACTGCTTTGATAGTTTCCTTTCCCTTCAATGTTACCTTGTCCATCAACCTCGATAGAACCAAATATATCCTCGGGCCTGTACGTGTTAGTGATACCACTAACACAGTCGTATATCCAAGGGTGAGAACATACGAAGGTATCCTGCCATACTCCGGCGGCTCTCTCGAATCAACTATATGGATGAATCCTCCCCTGCCAGCTGATTCCGCTCCTTCTGCCCTCCCATGTAGGCGTGAGAAGAGGTTCGCACCGGAAGTTGATGCCATTACATGTGCGGCGGACACGGTGTCTGGGTCTTGGTATGCATGTTCCGCTAGAACGGAGTCTATGACTGACATGAACTGCGGATTAAGAGAGAAAGTGCTTGGA